AATTGCGTAAAGTTTCTCAAGTTCTTCTGTCTGCTGCCTTGGCTACATTCCCAGCTCGTGTGCTCGCTCCTCTGTGCGCCGATAAATTGAACAATTTTCCATTTATGCGAAATGCACTTACAACTTTATACCTCATACACACACACGCATACTCACACTTGCATGCAGAAGTTCTTTTGTGCAGGACACTTGGTGCCTGTTGTTCGCTTCCTTCTTTAATAAACTCGCATAAAGAATTGGGCCAGAGATAAAAAGTATGGCAAACATGTTCCACACAAAACTTCCATACACCCACACGCATACAGATACAGCATACGCCATTATCAAAGCTGTTGAAATGCTTGTTTCGCCTTTGTTGCCGCCAGAAGGCGCTGCCATGGTTTAATAGAAAGTAGCTCGGGTAATAGCTATTTCCTATGCATTTTTCATAAATATAATTCCATTTTTTCTTGTGCGAGCGAATGCACTATTCTCTTGTCTACTTTTCCTTTCCCTTTACTTCCTCTTGCTAGTTGCTTTTGGATTTGTAATTTATTTTTCCAGTATTTTGGCTTCATTTGTATTTGTTTGTTGACTTTGTTAACTTTTTTGTTGCTTTGTTCCTGTTGTTATTGTTGTTGTTACTGTTGCTCTACATGCAGTTTTCCGCTGAAGACTTTTCTAGCCTTGCGGAAATTGTCGTGAATAGTTCATTTCAGCATTCCAGCATTTTTCAGTTATTTTTTATATTTTTCTTTCCCTTTTTCTTCATTTTTATTTTTTTTTTTTGCTTGCCAAAGTTTGTCCAAGCAGCTGCGATTGCAATTGCCATTTAGTTGTTTGTTGTTGTTGCTGTTGTCAGTTGTTAGCAAAAATAATTTCCCCTTTATGCAGATGAGTCCGGCGCACTGTCCGCGCTGTCCTCGTTTTGGCCCGTAATGAAATTGACATCTTGTGTCGCGATTTCAAGCTGATTTCCCATTTTTTTTTTTTTTTTTGCGTCATCCTTTCCTATTTTCTACTTTCGCTGTTGCTGCCGCTGCTGTTGCTTGTTTTTCCATCCAGCATGGAAATTCAGTTTTTCAGTTTTCAGTTTTGCCTGCCTTGCAATTCAATTTCCGCATTTGTTAAGCTCCTTAGCCAGGACCTTTTAATAAATTGTGCAAATCACTTATTTTTATTTTATGTAAATATGTTGTTGATAAATTGTTTGATATTAGCATATTATTATGGAAGTTATGGAAATACATTTTAGTATTTAGTGTTTCTTTCGAGTTTTCTTTCTTTAGTATTATGTTCTTTATTTTTTTCATTTTACGTTTATTTCTTTATTTTGATTAATTTAATCTAATTTTCTTAATGATGTTTTAAGGACTGTAATGCAAAAATTTTATTCTTTTTTTAAACATCAGAGAACCTTGAGATTTATACTGGATGACTTCCTTCCGTTCCCCACGCAGTAGACTCTTTTTCCCGTTCCGAATTCACTAAACAATTGCTTTTGAGAAAGTACGCGATGTCATCTAGCCGTGCACTTCGAACTAGAGTTCTCTTAATTATTTAATATTTTCCTATTCCACTTCATTCCATGTCTCAATTTCTTTGCTGAGCTAATGGTTATTGGCAATTCGCGTCCCTTAAACTCGTTATTAAAAATCGAAAACTGCTATGAAAAATGCATGAAACAGAGTGTGGACCTAACGTTTGTTAACAATAATTAAATTGGAAATGATAAATTTTATTATGTTTTTTATTATTATAATTATTATTATTATTGTTGTTCATTTGTTGTTATTGGTCTTTTACATTCTCAATGAGACTTGGCGTG